AATGCATTATGATAACACATGGAGCACATGAAGCAAGAGGATGAATTTAATGCATTATGATAACACATGGAGCACATGGAGCAAGAGGATGAATTTAATGCATTATGATAACACATGGAGCACATGAAGCAAGAGGATGAATTTAATGCATTATGATAACACAATGGAGCACATGAAGCAAGAGGATGAATTTAATGCATTATGATAACACATGGTGCAAGAGGATGAATTAATGCATTATGATAACACATGGAGCACATGGTGCAAGAGGATGAATTTAATGCATTATGATAACACATGGAGCACAATGAAGCAATTTAGGATGAATTTAATGCATTATGATAACACATGGTGCACATGAAGCAAGAGGATGAATTTAATGCATTATGATAACACATGCATGTGCAAGAGGATGAATTTAATGCATTATGATAACACATGGAGCACATGGTGCAAGAGGATGAATTTAATGCATTATGATAACACATGGACACATGAAGCAAGAGGATGAATTAATGCATTATGATAACACATGGAGCAGAGAAGGATGAATAATGCAAGAGGATGAATTTAATGCATTATGATAACACATGGAGCACATGCAAGAGGATCGAATTTAATGCATTATGATAACACATGGAAAGTGCATTATGAATAACACATGGTGCAAGAGGATGAATTTAATGCATTATGATATTTTAATGCAACACATGGTGCAGCACACATGGAGCACATGAGAGATGAATTTAATGCATTATGATAACACATGGAGCACATGGTGCAAGAGGATGAATTTAATGCATTATGATAACACATGGAGCACATGGAGCAAGAGGATGAATGATAATGCATTATGATAACACATGGAGCACATGGAGCAAGAGGATGAATTAATATTATGATAACACATGGATCACATGGAAGCAAGGATGATTTAATGCATTATTTAAAAACAATTAAAATTAAAATATAATGCATTATGATAACACATGGTGCACATGAAGCAAGAGGATGAATTTAAATGCATTATGATAACACATGGTGCAAGAGATGAATTTAATGCATTATGATAACACATGGAGCACATGGTGCAAGAGGATGAATTAATGCATTATGATAACACATGGAGCACATGAAGCAAGAGGATGAATTTAATGCATTATGATAACACATGGTGCAAGAGATGAATTTAATGCATTATGATAACACATGGAGCACATGGTGCAAGAGGATGAATTTAATGCATTATGATAACACATGGAGCACATGGTGCAAGAGGATGAATTAATGCATTATGATAACACATGGAGCAACATGGAGCAGAGGATGAATTTAATGCATTATGAAACAACACATTTAAAGAGGATGAATTTAATGCATTATGATAACAATTTAAAAAAAAATAAAATTAATGCATTATGATAACACATGGAGCACATGGAGCAAGAGGATGAATTTAATGGCATTATGACTAACACATGGAGCACATGGAGCAAGAGGATGAATATAATGCATTATGATAACACATGGAGCACATGGAGCAAGAGGATGAATATAATGCATAATGATAACACATGGTGCACATGAAGCAAGAGGATGAATTTAATGCATTATGATAACACATGGTGCAAGAGGATGAATTTAATGCATTATGATAACACATGGAGCACATGGTGCAAGATGATGAATTTAATGCATTATGATAACACATGGAGCACATGAAGCAAGAGGATGAATTTAATGCATTATGATAACACATGGTGCAAGAGGATGAATTTAATGCATTATGATAACACATGGAGCACATGGTGCAAGAGGATGAATTTAATGCATTATGATAACACATGGAGCACATGGTGCAAGAGGATGAATTTAATGCATTATGATAACACATGGAGCACATGGAGCAAGAGGATGAATATAATGCATTATGATAACACATGGAGCACATGGAGCAAGAGGATGAATTTAATGCATTATGATAACAATTTAAAAACAATTTAAAATTAAAATATAATGCATTATGATAACACATGGTGCACATGAAGCAAGAGGATGAATTTAATGCATTATGATAACACATGGTGCAAGAGGATGAATTTAATGCATTATGATAACACATGGAGCACATGGTGCAAGAGGATGAATTTAATGCATTATGATAACACATGGAGCACATGAAGCAAGAGGATGAATTTAATGCATTATGATAACACATGGTGCAAGAGGATGAATTTAATGCATTATGATAACACATGGAGCACATGGTGCAAGAGGATGAATTTAATGCATTATGATAACACATGGAGCACATGGTGCAAGAGGATGAATTTAATGCATTATGATAACACATGGAGCACATGGAGCAAGAGGATGAATATAATGCATTATGATAACACATGGAGCACATGGAGCAAGAGGATGAATTTAATGCATTATGATAACAATTTAAAAAAAAATTAAAATTAAAATATAATGCATTATGATAACACATGGAGCACATGGAGCAAGAGGATGAATTTAATGCATTATGATAACACATGGAGCACATGGAGCAAGAGGATGAATATAATGCATTATGATAACACATGGAGCACATGGAGCAAGAGGATGAATATAATGCATTATGATAACACATGGTGCACATGAAGCAAGAGGATGAATTTAATGCATTATGATAACACATGGTGCAAGAGGATGAATTTAATGCATTATGATAACACATGGAGCACATGGTGCAAGATGATGAATTTAATGCATTATGATAACACATGGAGCACATGAAGCAAGAGGATGAATTTAATGCATTATGATAACACATGGAGCAAGAGGATGAATTTAATGCATTATGATAACACATGGAGCACATGAAGCAAGAGGATGAATTTAATGCATTATGATAACACATGGAGCACATGGAGCAAGAGGATGAATTTAATGCATTATGATAACACATGGAGCACATGGAGCAAGAGGATGAATATAATGCATTATGATAACACATGGAGCACATGAAGCAAGAGGATGAATTTAATGCATTATGATAACACATGGAGCACATGAAGCAAGAGGATGAATTTAATGCATTATGATAACACATGGAGCACATGGAGCAAGAGGATGAATTTAATGCATTATGATAACACATGGAGCACATGGAGCAAGAGGATGAATTTAATGCATTATGATAACAATTTAAAAACAATTTAAAAATTAAATATTGATGTCTTGTCAATGTAACAAAAGTATTTATAATATTGAAATTGAAGACAGTAATATTCAAATTGTGTTTATAAATAAATAAATGAAAGAAATGCAGTGAAATATAATAAATATATTGATCTTAATAAAGATAAAGGTTCTTTTCTAAAGATCAGGAATAGTTTGTGAAAAAAAATGATTTGAAAAAAGTAATGTTCTAATTATAAATGTATAAATAGGTTTGTAAATAAACAAGTAAATAAATTAATGAATAAGTAAATTAAATGAATTATATATTATAAAACAAATATTGAATGTACAAAGTCAGAAAGGAGGATGATGTCAGTTAATAGGTTGAAAAAGTAAAATATACTTTATTAATAATTAATAAGCCCATTTCTAAGCACATTTACTTTTTATCTCGACTTTTTTTTTTGAAAAAAAAAATAGAGGTATTGCTACAGTCAGGTCGGCGTTGCCGTTGCCGTAGCCTTTGCCGTTGCCGTCCGAAAACTTGTACCTGGATCATAACTTTTTTATTTCTTTGTGTATTGTCTTCATACTTGGCCACAACAACCCTTGGGACAAGACCTTTCAGTAGACCACACTAACCTTGACCTTCATCCATAAATGACCTTGACCTTCAAGGTTAAAAGTCCAATTTTTGCTAGTTCATGCTGTTATTGGCTGTAACTTTGTTATTTTTGAATGGATTGTCTTCAAACTTGAACATAATAATCTTTAAGGATATCCCTTAAAAATAACCAGCCAGACCTTGACCTTCACTCATAAATGACCTTGACTTTGAAGGTCAAATTATTGAAATTTTCATTTTTTTGGCTTTTATTGGCTGTAAGTTTGTTATTTTTGAATGGATTGTCCTGAAACTTGAACATAATAATCTTCAAAGATTACTGTTAAAGATATACCGAAAGACCTTGACATTCACACATTAATGACATTGTCTTTGAAGGTCAAATTATTGAAATTTTCATTGTTTTGGCGGTCACTGACTGTAACTTTGCTATTATTGAAGGGATCAACTTCATATTATAAGAGAACATTCTTAAGGACCAGACCTTGTTGTTTATCAAACCCAACTTTGCTTGGGCTCTTAAATGACCTTGACCTTGAAGGTTAAATTACTGAATTTTCTCAGATTTGTGCATTAAATGACCATATTTAAATATTTATTGGTGTGTGTGTGTCTATATATATATATATTTACAACAACAACAACAATAACTAAAATTGTGTCATTGTTTCTATTTATAGAATTGCGTCATTGTTTCTATTTATAGAATTGCGTCATTGTTTCTATTTAGAGAAATTGGGTCATTGTTTTTTTTTTATAGAAATGCGTCATTGTTTCTATTTTTAGAGATTGCATCATTTTTTCTATTTTTAGAAATTGCGTCATAATTTTTATTTTTAGAAATTGCATCATTGGTGCTATTTTTAGAAATTGTGTCATTGTTGCTATTTTTAGAAAATGCGTCATTGTTTCTTATTTTAGAGATTGTGTCATTTTTTCTATTTTTAGAAATTGCGTCATAATTTCTATTTCTAGAAATTGCGTCACAATTTCTATTTTTAGAAATTGCGTCATTTTTTCTATTTTTAGAAATTGCGTCATATTTTCTATTTTTAGAAATTGCGTCATTGGTACTATCTTTAGAAATTGCGTCATTGGTGCTACTTTTAGAAATTGCGTCATTTTTTCTATTTTTTGAAATTGCGTCATAATTTCTATTTTTAGAGATTGCGTCATTTTTTCTACTTTTAGAAATTAACTAAATTTATAAAAAGGAAACATCAATATATGTTCAAACCTTTCTATGTTTGCATTTAGAAAAAGTAAAAAGTCGAGCGTTGCCCCCGCCCGGCGGTGGCTCTTGTTATTGTAAAAATAGAAAGACAGATTATAATAATCCAGAATTTGACAAGGGTTAGGGGTTGAAGTTGTTTTTATTATCATTGAACAAAATGTAATATATAAATGGATACTATCATACATGAAAATAAAAAAAAACACAAACAAAAAGAATGATATATACATGTTTAAATAGTTATATGATATATGATACAAGGGAATGGTATATATAAATACCAGTTATATGATATATATGACACAGGAATGGTATAAATAAATACCAGTTATATAATATATATGACACGAGAATGGTATAAATAGATACCAGTTATATGGTAAATAGGACAGGGGAATGTATAATAATACCAGTTATATGTTATATATGACAAGGGAATGGTATTTATAAATACCAGTTTTATTATACATTATACTAAGGACAAGGGAATGATTATATATATAAATACCAGTTATATGATTTATAGGGCAGATGATCAGTATATATTATTACCAATTATATGATATATAGGATTATATGATATAGAGGAATTGTAAATTTTTTATATGAATACCTGTTAGATGTCAGGACAAGTAAATGGTATACTTTTTTTTCATGGAGATGAGGACTACTTACAATTTATATTTTAGAAATTCCTTCTTTGATTGTTTTATATGGTAATGATTGAAAAAGGGAGAAAAATTATAATTATGCAAAATGATTAATTTGTACAAGTTAATATTTTTAGTCAGTATAAGTCAAAGTGTATATCAAAAGGGGCTTCACTGAGGATTTTTGACATGTTTGGAATTAAATTTTCTTGATTTTTTTAGATTGATAGGATGAGAATATTCTTGAGGTTTCCTACTATTTCAATATAACTATTAACTTGTGTGCAAAAAATTTAGATCATTCTTTAGATCAAGCTGTATCTCCATTACAACTTCGGGTGGATTAGAACCTCACGCACATATGAGAGTAATAGGAAGTCTCTGTCCGAGGACCATGAATATAACATAAATTTTGACAGAGTTATTGCCCTTTTTGAAGTTAGAAAGTTCTGCAGTCGCCATCACTGTGGATAGCTGAGCACACTGTGCTGTCGAGAGCTCTTGTGGTTCAAAATGATATAAATGTTAATAGCTTAACTCCCCTTAAAATTACACATAATAAATATTAATTTTCAATTTTTTTCTAAGTTTTTTTCTTTAGAAATAGTATTATTTTTATATGCCCGAAATAATTTCAGTCATATTATGTTAAACCCCCTGGCGTCCGTCCGTTTGTCCGTCCGTCCGTTTGACCTTCAAACTGAAAACAGTTTCCGGAGCATAACTTAAGTTCCATTTGGTCCACAATATTTAAACTGCATAGGATGATTGTCCATATTGAGTAAAAGACCCCTATTGCTTTTGGGGTCACATGGTCATAGGTCAAGGTCACAATGACCTTAAAACTGAAAACAGTTTCTGGAACATAAGTTCCATTTGGCCAAAGGTGTTCAAACTTCATACGATGATTGTCCATATTGGGTAGAAGACCCCTATCGATTTGGGGTTACAAGGTCAAAGGTCACTATTACTTTAAAACTGTAAAACGTTTCCAGAACATAACTTAAGTTCCACTTGGTCCACAATATTTAAACTTCAGAGGCATGGATTGCTATTTGAAGGAGGTAATACTTTAATTCTCATGTCTTACACATGCTTCAACCTTACTAAAAAATCAACACTTTTGGGCATATAATGCTCTGCCTAGCGGTGCTCTTTTTATATATTTTCCGTATTAAGTTTCCAAATTAATCTGTTTCGGATTTTCTACTTTAATTTTTTATTTAGGGTTTTGGACCTCAGTGGAGCTTTTTTAAGTGAACTTTAATGTTTATTTTTTTTTAAATTATATAGATAAACTTAAGGTAACTGAGTATAAACATGTCTATCTGTAAATTAAGATGTACATATCAGGAATATTATACCAGTTTGTGGCTGCTCCTCAGGGATATATATTCCCATTCTCGGCTGTCCCAAGGGTAATTTGCCGGTTTTGAGCGGCCTCTCTTGGATATATACCAGTTTTTGACTATACTAAGGAAATAAATTATGACAGAAATATCTGTAAGTCTATAATTACTCAGCTTATTTCAATATTTCAGTAAAATGTTACATTTGTCTTCTTTATTTCTTGATTTTCTGCACATTTAAGTACAGTTACTTTGAAATAAAATTTACCATTAATGGATTGCCTAGCTTTTGAAATTTTGTGCACTGAGAAAATGTAAATTTTAATTGAATCAGTTTAAATGTGAATGGGTACCCCATGCATATAAACAAATACACTTCATTTGTGATGATTGTAGTTCAGCCCAGTATATGTGGTTTCATATGATGCTAAGACTGAAAATTAAATGTTTTCAGACAGTAAAGATATAACTACATTTTATTAAAGCTTGGTTAGTTTGTATGGTTGCTGATGTTAGTATATACATGTACCAGGATTAAGATATGTTATATATAAACATTTGTTACACATGTCTGTGCCTTTATTCTGAATGAATAAATGAATGAATGTATCTAGTACATATGTAAACATATTATAACATATATATACATGTTTGTTGTATAGTTACATGCTATTGCAATGCTTTGATGAAAATAAGATAACATAATTTTATATAAAGAAACATTTTGGGACATGTAATCCTACATACATCTTAAACAGTTATACCTGTTTGATTTAAAGGCCCATTAAGCCTTAAAAATGCACTCCCTTTTATTTTTAAAAAGCTTAATTGTTTTATGTCCAAAGAGTTTTTCATTGTCCATATACCAGAACCATCATTTGTTTGTTTTGCATTTATTCATGTTTGATTTAAAGGCCCATTAAGCTTAGAAAATGCAGTATGTTATTTTTCAAAAGTTTATGTTTTGGTGTCCAAAACGTTTTTCATTGGCCATATATCTAAGTTAATGTTTGTTTCTTTTGCATTTTAGCAACTAAAACAGTTATGATGAATCAGTATTATATAAAATTATGGAAGTCAAATTACATTTTTTTTACATTTTGCATCTGTAATAAGAAATTAAACTCAATTTTTTTGGCAGTTGATAAGAAGAGCACTTGTTCTAAATATATTATTACAACATTATAAAACACATATTGGCCCTTTTACAAAAATAAAAATCTATTCATTTCTGAGGCGAAATGTGCCTTTAAACTTTAAATGTATATGTAGAGTAAATTCATCTAGTATATAAGTAAACATATAATTACATGAAGATGTTATTAATTGTTAACTAGATATATGAATGTTTATCTTTATTTCATGCTTAGATTTGTTATGTCTTGTGAACATATGCATCAGACATGTTTGTTTGTGACTTGGAATATAGATTTTATAATTCTAGTATATTTGTAAACATATATTAATTTACATGTACTAATAACAAATATATATTGGCCATGTTTATGCTTAAACAATTCTATATGAAGTAAAGATAAGATCATGCTGGAATATGTCAATTATACATATACATATATATATAACATGACTGTTTAAAACCTGAAATGTTTATGGAAAACAGTATTCAGTATATGAGCCGTCTCACGACAAAACCAAAATAGTGGGTTTTCGACCAGCATTGATCCAGACCAGCCTGCGCATCTGCGCAGTCTGATCAGGATCCATGCTGTTTGCTATCAGTTTCTCTACTTGTAATAGAGTTGGTAAGCGAACAGCATGGATCCTTATCAGACTGCGCGGATGCGCAGGCTGGTCTGGATCCATGCTGGTGGCAAACCCACTATGTTGGTTTTGTCATGGCGCGGCTCATATAATCTTATCATGGAAGCTTCATAGACATAATTGTTATTATACTGTTTTTGTTATTAATGTAGTATTTTTAAAATAAATCATGTTTGTTTGATTGGTTTTGCTAGCATGAATATGTGACTTTTCTTAATAAAAGATTGTACAAAATTGGTACGTGTATCATTTGTTTTTCCCCCTTGCAGAACATATCTTTTATTTACTTCCAACTATTTCCATATATAGCAAAGACTAAGCTGCCAGTACATAAATACCGTTTGTAAAATATATGCACTGTACTAGGAGACAATGACTGGTGAAATTACGTGTAAGATAAAACGCAATCGACAAGTCTACAAAATGCATTAACACATGATATATACAAGGTGTTACAGTAATAAGATGTCACATATGACTTTATACAAATTATTTCAATTTTGTAAATACGTTGTTACTGCATGTGATATGATCCGAGTTTTCTCCTTATAGTATATATTATAAAGCTGAATGTTATTCTATGATCCGGGTGCATTATAATTAAGTCTGAGAAATCTTGCATAAATAACAATAGAATTACATGAAAATTTACTCGGTTTGCTTGTATGACTTGATTGTGTCGGGGGACTGCGTTCCGAGGATGTCACCTTGCATTGATCTTTGTTCTCATTGTTTTGTTATCGAGTCTGTACACGAGGAATGATGATAAAGTACAACCTCCCTCACGCCCCATAGCACCGGCTTGAGTAGTACTTAATAATTTTCAACACACAAAAGTGTTGGAATCAAAGGTCTAGAAAGTAAAAAAAAACAACAACAACACTGAAATAGTACGGCTGCTACACAGAACTTGACACCTGCTGTTTTGAAGTATAAAAAATCAGCAAAAAGTTTGATCTTCTGGAAGCATATAATCACAATTCCTTTTGAAATAGTAAAAAAAGTTCTACATCCCTCACGCCTCCTAGCACTGGCTTGAGCGGTGCCCATTGGCAACATTGTTGGAATCACTTGGAATAAAGTTATACCAAGTTGGAATCAAGTTATATTTATCATCACTATGTAAGTGGAGATACATAATTATGTACCTCTTTAGCCCACCCAAAGATTGAGTTATGACAGGTCCTGTTAAATTAAATGTGTAACTGTGTTTATTTTATGATATGACAGAAAAATGCCCTGTCACATATATAATTATAATATCATTAGGAGAAATACTGAAATAAATTACATTATGGGGCGATAAAAATAATCCAGGGAGACTAATACTGTTCGTATACATGTATGTATCAAAATACTTAATTTGTACATTCGGTAATAACAATTTGAGGGAGACTAATCATGCATTTATATTAATCTTTTTACAAGGATAAATTCCCTTTGATCATATTTCAGGTAGCCATACATATAAATTATTTTTTTTTTAAATGCGGCGGCTTAAAAACAAGTTTTCTGTTTTCTTATAAAGTGATCACATGAATGGGTGTAACATTTTACAAGGTTACGTTCATTACCATTCATGGATACATCTTTGCTCTAATCACTTTACCTGTATTAAAGGACAAAGGGACACCTGAGGTCTTCCTCAATCAATAGAGCTGGAATGTCGTCTTGTGATCTGTTAAAAATGGCGTTATTTTTAAGGAAAGGCCTACATCGACTTAACCTGTAATAAGAAATGCAGCTCCCGAAAGACAATTTGAGCATTCTCTTGTTGAAAAATCCGGAAAGAAAGTGATCCCTCGGAATCATTAATCACAACAAAATTACATAAGAATTGCAGACTCGGTTTGATTGAGTCTGTTCATGAGGGATACTGAAAAAGAGCAACTTCCTCACGCCCCCTAGCACCGGCTTAAGCGGTACTCGATTCTCAACACTTAATAGTGCTGGTATCAATGATCCAGAAGAACCAGAAAAATATAATAACACGGAATTGACAACTGCCACACAGCACTTGACACCTGCTGTTGTGAAGTAATAAAAATCCGACATAAACCTTTGGTAGAATTAAAAGTATTTTGCCCAAAGATGATCGAGTCTATTATATCTTTATTTTTTTCTGAAACCGACCTCGGGTCATTTAACCCTGTATGGTATGGCACATGATATCATATAATTGCAGCTGTAATTATTTTCCTATTCTTTATTTTAAGTTGTAAACTGTTCGTGTTCATTAAAATAAATATTCCACAGAATCAAACGGGTGATAACAGGTTTTGTTTGTTTGTTTGTTTCATTTTACGCTTTTTCCCCAACAATATTTCAGTCATATAGGCGGGTAGTTTCCTAACCATCGTTCCTGGATAGTTACACCAGTACTAAAATTCCCTCCGTGCTAAACTATCAAAGCATCTCCCGGGGATCGAACCCACGCCAGACAAGTAACTGTATTAGACTCTAACTCCTCGACCACGGAGGCAGTGAAAAAGCAGGTACTAATTTCTTAAGTTATAGTTTTGTGGAGGATCTGCTTGTGAATTGTGTATAGGTGCAAATGTATGATGATAATAATTTCAGTATAATTATGTATAATAATGATAATGAAGATATCAGTATTTTAATGAAGATATTAGAATAATAATGAAGGTATGAGAATGACAATAAAGATATTGGAATGACAATGAACTTGATAAACAAATATCTTTATTATCATTCTGAAATCTTCATTGTCATTCTGGTATGTTTATAATCATTCTTTTATCATCATTTTCATTCTGAGATTTTCATTGTTATCTTGACTTCATCCAAAAATATTTGCAAAAAAAGTAAACATAAATATATTCATAACTGTTTAAACCAGGAGACCTATTTTGACCAGTTCCGAACACGTACATGTATTTTTGATGACGGACTGTACCCAACTGAAAACGTTTCCGCGTTTTCTTATCAGAAATAAAATGTTCTTAAATGTTGAAATATATGACTGAATATATGTAAGAAAGTGTGCCAACATTTCATTTGAGGTATATGTATTAAATTATAATCATTTATTTAAAATGCGTTTACTGTAGGCCACTATATATATATAATATAGTAGGAAAGTCGTTACTTAAAATATCCTACCATGTTGTTATTTTATAAAAAGTACTGTACGTGTAGTGTAATATTAATATACATTTATCTCTGAAAACTGAATAATGAAATAAAATGCAGAATATAGATCAAAACAAAACATGGACATGGAAGTCTGTGTCAGTGTTGACAGATATTATTTAAACTAAAGATGAACGTTTGTCAGTATGGACAAAATTAAAAACATAGATTATCTATAAAAAGTATTTACCAGTAATGGGACTAGAATTAGTGTTGTTCAAGCATTATTGCAAAACAAAAACTTATTTTCATCTTGGACATTTTATACGATCCCTGTTTTAAACAGAAGTTTCCAGAAATAATGAGAAAAATCAAATGCATGCAATGCAATTGCAGTTCTGCTTCATCTCACGTCAAGCATGGTGGTGCTTTAAAGTTTACAATACTATATACATGTATACCCCGAATTAATATTAAGATAATAAATCAGACTGGAAGTTTGTAGTGTACTGACTTAGTTTTAGTATTAGCTCGCAAAAATAGTCAAATTCTTCGGAGGTAATATTACAAATGACATTTGTAACGTTATGTGCACCGGAACTTGCTTCGGAACTGGTGAAACCAACCAGATTCAATCAAGCAGTATTCTTACTAGAAAAAAGATAATATATTTCCTAATACTTGTTAGGCTTGAAGTCGAATCAAATATCAACTAGCTAGCAGGTACATTTTTTAAACCAACTTTTTGTTAATTTGTAAGCAGACACCAAACGTTGAAAAACTGCACCGGAACCGGTCAAACAAATGTATCACATTTTTATTAGATTTATTTTATAACATAGTAACATATATATTGTAATTTTTTTAACAAAAACAAAATGCTGAGGCTATTATCATACTTAATTTTATTGCATTAAGAACACATTTACGGAAACGCTATATAATTTTATGTAAATCATTATATAATACATTTTACCATTGTGTTTTTTAGTTAATATAGATAAACAATAAAAACAAAATCTATTATTTTTTTAAAGTCCAAAGTTTTCATGCTATTTTTGCCGCAATATTTAGAAAATTAAAAATCTATATAGCCATAGAGGGAAAATACATTTTACTGGTAAGTGAAGGACAATATTTAGTGTTGTGAGGCCTTTGGGAATCGCGCATGCGCTGTAAAATTGAAAAAAAATATTGATCAGTATGGCGGCGGTTAGTCCAGGATAAGATTTTCTTAAAATTTGAAGAAATTGATGTAAGTATCTTTTAAATCTTGTAGCCGTTATGTTACATATTTTATACTGAAACGAAATGATTACTTCATGAAACAGAAATAACTAATGTGCCAACACAAATTACAAAAAGTTAACAATTAAAAACGAAAGTAGATTTATGAAAAACTGGGGGAATTCCCACATTAGGCTAATAATTATAGATGTTTTCAAATGGAAAGGTAACAACCATTTATTAAGCATTTGTAAATCATGTATGTTATCTGAAATCCTAATTTTGATGAATACTTTATTAAACTAATTTTATTAGGATTTGATAATTTACCAAAAGGTGTTTGGTGAAAACGAAAGAAGAAATTATAAACAATTATTTCGTTCCTTAATTATTTCAGACCTGAATCTAACCAGTTTCTGACCTCAATTTAACCAATATATACCAATAATGTAAATAAAGTTTGTCCATAATCTGACCAAATTCAGACATTCTGAATAGTACCACAGACGCTCACAGGAAAATCTGTCCTTATTTTATTAAATCTATATACATGAATATGATAATATGAAATTAGGCAAAGCCTATGAACCGGGAAGTCGTTAAGAAATTCCTTTTATTCTTTCCGTTTTAAAGGTGTCATTCGGTATTACATGCACCGCTTCCGTTTTCACTCGGAACATTCGACGTTTATTATTTATTCGAAAAGTTGAGATTTGTTCCGTTATCAGAATGGAAACAGGACGTTTCGGCCCCAAACCAAATCGGCCCCAGTCGAAAAATCGGCCACTGGACGTTTCGGCCCTTATCCGCGAGACGTTTCGGCCCCACTATAGTATATTGCTTGCTTGATTAACAAAATACAATTAAACAATTTTGACACTTTAATTCTTTAAATAATTATTTATTATCTTTAGCCGCCTCCATGGTCGAGGGGTTAGAGTCGATGACTTCTAATCCAGTTACCTCTCTGCAGTCTCTGGCGTGGGTTTGATCCCCGGGAGATGCTTTGGTAGTTTAGCGCGGAGGAAGGTAGTCTAGTACTGGTGTAACTCTCCAGGAACGATGGTTAGGAAACTACCCGCCTATATGACTGAAATACTGTTGGAAAAAGGCGTAAAATGAAACAAACAAACAAACAAAATTTATTATCTTTTGATCTCTTGAACCATTTAGATGTACGTTAATGTTTTTAAAGGTGTAACAAACAATAAAGGCAGGTTACTTAATTTATAAAACAAACCACTAAAACTTCTGGATTAAGAATGTTAATTACAATTATTACTTAGAAAACATTATCTTTTGATCTTAATTAAACTATACGTAATTTTTTCAAGGTGTAACTGATTAACTGTTTATAGCTTTATGCTAATTGGCGGTAAGTAATATCAGAGAAAACTTCAAAAGATATGAAAAAACTGTTTGCTATAATCTCATGATAATATTTTTAATTATTATTGCTATTAGATAATGATAGATCAAGTAAAGTTGTTTACTTGTAAAATTGCAAAAATGTTATTTATAAAAAAAGTGTCTGTTTACATTTGTTTCGTTGCAAGTAAAATTGTTTAACTGTACGTTCTGTACTTGTATTTTCGTATCCATCAAACTCGTCACCGTTCAATAGTTGTTGATGATAATCTTTCCACTCAGTCACCGCGGACACTTTTAACGGCGAACAGAAAATCACGGGGGACATACTGTAGTATCCCACGGCGACAAATCACCACGGACGGGTAGTAAAAAAACCTGCAATCCGCGGTGGAAAATCACATAGATTTGCAATGATTAATTTGCATATACACAATAATGTTCATGTAAATGTACAATGTAGTCTTCTTTTAAAAAATCAAAAAGACTTACATTGTGACTGATGATTTTAATCATTCAATAAAATTATTTAGTTAGCTCCGCGATATTAATGTACATTTACCGGGGAAAATCACATCACAAAAAAGTTCAATGAAAATAGTTTCAAGAAAACGGAATAACAAAATATTTAACGAAATCGGTCAACACTTTCAAGAAAATTAAATGCTTTGATGTTTCTGTGTAAAAATTTGAAACGATAGCAGCTAGAACACTTAAAAAGTTTTTTTTTAGAAATTCTATTCATACTTGAAACAATAAACGCCACTTATTATATAATGTACATTTAATAGCGGCCAATCTTAAGAAGTTGTTAAATCCAATCAAGGAACTAATTTATTTATTCTTTGCTCAAGACCGCTTAATTAAGCAATTTACACCTACAAAAATTAAGCAATTAGCACATACACCTAATAGTGCAGCCGTGGACTAGTTCATGTACGTAAATATATATAATAGTTTAACAAACATTTCCTTAACATATGTTTTCACGTAAACTTTGCAAGATGCCATTACAAAATCTGATCAAAAGCCACAATTTTTTTGTCATTAAATACGACTGTGATGGGAAAATGCAATTAAAAAGTCGAGAATTACTTCTCCAGAATGGTGAGGTGAGTGTCGTAGAAATAAATTAGAATCTATCTCATTACTTATTATACAACTACAGTACAATGTAGTCCACGGTATGCGCTATCTAAAAATTTAGATCTGTGATCATGATGAAATAAACATATTTGTTACATCTTTTTTTCAGATCATAACCGTTAATGCGACATAAAATATTTCAAAAAGAGAAATGTTTAATTCAAAAGTAAATTTGTGTGTATGCTATGACCCACTTAAACTTTAGTTCTCGTCAATATTTGGAGGGAAGGTAATTAACACACGTAAATTTAACAGAAAAATCGTTTAAATGGATCAAAGAAATAATTAAAAATTCTTATATGATTGTAACACTGTAAAATCAGAAGGTTAAAATGGCTTAAAGCAGTTGAAATTAATTATGTTAAAAGTTACTACATATTAGGGTTTTTATTTCACACACAAATCATTAAATTTTGTAATTATTTGCATACAACAGATGTAACGTTGTTTAAATACATAACATACAGATTTTCTTCTATAAGTAATAGAAAGAGCACCGAAACACGAGGCTATCTGATTTGTACGAGGGGGCGTAGCCCCCCGAGTATAAATCAGATTGCCGAGTGTTTTGGTGTTCTTTCTCTTTTGTATCATAGTCAAACATGACAGCACGTTCCCTGTTGTCATAATATGAAACCCCAGAAAAAATTAACCAATGAACGAGCATTTGAATATGATAGTTCTGCCCCTTTCCCTTTCTCTGCCGTCACAATATGTAAACCCCGGCAAAAATGAACCAATCCACGGGCATTATCTGGAGTGCGGGTAACTGATACCCGCACTCCAGTTACCGCACTGTGCATGTATATGTATACGATTTAACTCTGACACTTTTTCAACAGAAAGGTACCCAAACTATGATACAAAAATGTGTTTGAGTTCATTATATTTTACAGACATACAGTAATAGTAATAAATGTCCCCGTGTTATAAATAAACTAAAAGTCACCCGAGAGAGCGAAATACCGCTGCAATATTTCACAGTGATCTGCGGTGACAATATCCCACAGCGCAAACTTCCCCCGATCAAGTTGACGAGCGGAAAGTCACAACTATCGCAGGGACATCGCGGTGACAGTCCACCCGTAAACGAATTGCGGGGATCGGCAGACTTTGGAAAAATTGCTTGAGCTGTACTGTAGGTATAGAATTCTATATATTTTTTAATTGTTTTTTTATTTGATTTTCTTTTAAATATACACGTAATGTCTATAGCCGGGCAAGCCAAAGCTCGGACCCGCTTCGCGGGCCCGCTCTTTGACTTCCCCGTATAAACATGGAATGCAAGTTGTGGCCTCCCATTACCAGGAAGGGTTCGTAAAATGCATTCACACATGTAAACTGTAAAATGTCCTTTATTCCATCAAAGTTATTGTAGAAGTTAATATATGAATCAGGGCTCATCCTGGGGGGAAATTTAATGGAAAAAAGTGACTTCCTCGCATTAATTAGGGAGAAAAACAACCTAATGTGTATGCATTAACGAATTACAGACAGGGCGGACCGTACCATGACAGACCATATGTTTGGGAGGGCCAGACCATATTTTTGGACAGGGCGGACCGTGAATACCTAGGAATAAACTTTAACCTATACTTAATGCAGTTTATTGATTAATCTTGAATATTTTTTTAGGATATTATAAATAACAACATTGAGTTGGATATTATACAGATGATAATTGACCAATTGTTGGCATATTACATGCCATTGTTTGTTAAATATAAGACGGTTACTCTGCTAAAATTGAAATTCTTTATTAAACAATATGATACAGAAAATGAGAAAATACGTGTTATTCACATCTGATATTGTGATACACAATACAACACAATACCGTAAAATTTTGATTCTTTGACAAGTTACTTTATATTAGAATTTGTTTTTGTGCCATTGTTTGTACGACTGTCACGTTATAATAAAAAGATTTCATGTTCAACTTAGTTTATGACAAAAGAAACAATTTAATGCTTTCCATCAATAATTTATATCAAGAATATAGTCTTATTTAGCAATTAGAATAAATCACAGAATTATTCATTTATAATGTCTATTAGATGGAATGGCTCATATGGAAATGCTTACTTCCAGTGCATAAACCATTAGTTTTCGCAACCATTTCAGTTGAGTTGGCGTCATTTCTTTGAATGAGCAAAGCTTAGGAACAAGTCTTGAGACCTTGCTAAAGCTTTCGGAAATATCTTCAAAGGTTGTGAAAACTATGACTTTCATTGGTCTAGATAACAAATTTACATGTAGTACTGGTTGACCTTATTGCTTCATAACAATAAGAGAAATACCACAGCATGTTTTATAAGTATTATTAGTTTATTGAAAGTTGTAAAAATTTCTGTAATATTCTAATAATCATGATCAATTTATTTTATCATATAAGCAGGCCTAGGTCATATATATCTCATATACCAAAATGAATTGTATTTTTTTTTATTTTCCTGAATTTTATTTGGTCCAGGGAAGACAGATCCCGTCCAGTATTTGTTCCAAGATTACTGGAATGAATGAACAATAACACCAAATTTTGAAGAAAACAAGAAACATAGATAAACTTGTATTTTTATGTTGCAATGCAATACTTATCACAATACTGACTTTCACTGACAGAGACATTATCTATATAAAAAACTTGGTCATTTGTTCACAGCATAATTATGAATATAATATAAAACTATTACAATAACAAAACAATAAACTCTCCAACTTGTTATTATAACTTGTTTTCAAGTTTTGATCTTTCAACTATTTACTTATTACTTAAGGATTTTTACTTTTTACTTAAGGATTAAAGGTATTTTTCATTATATCATAAATAATATACATGTAGTGTATTGCGATACTTTCACGCTATATCAATGCGTCAGGTGGTGAAATATGTATTGCATCCGGATATATTGGAATTTATAATTCCAATATGATGCATGCATCAAAGACAGGGCAGATCGCGATGTTATGTTGAATTGTTACACCTCTACTCTGCTTTCAAATTTCTGTATCCCAGCTTATATGTTTAGCTCTTTTTTGTAGGGGTGTCATCGATAAGGATTTTTATATCGGTATATCGGTAATGAATTATCGGCGATACAGCGATATATTGATTGCCAGGCAAAATTAAGCTTTCAAGTCTTTTTAATTTGTTTTAATATGCAGTTACATTTAAACACATTAAAAAAATAAATAAACTATGAAAAGTGAACAATTTGTTTCTTTTTATCATTTTAACTTTTAATGACAACAAATGACTAGTAACTATAAATGTTAAAAGCCTTTTCCATTTTACTTTTGTTGTTGTTGCTATTACGTAGTTAAGGATTATGCTTAATCCCGTCCTTGCCGTTCTATTACTAAGCCGAGATTAAATTGGCAAATTATAGTGTTTAGAACCGGAATAATTATTAATGTTTAACATTTGCAATCATAATTTTTACAAAGAAACACTAAAACAAAATTCTTGGCATTTTCCCTTTTAAACATCTGAATTGGGGGGTCTTAACCCCCTCTCAGCAGACATGCGGGATTTACAATGAAATTCGGCAGCTTTGGTTAGAGACACTGGGAGGTAACTCTGGTGTTGATTTCCGTTTTAGAAAAAAAAAGTTTCGAATATGTTAGTTCTGGCTTCCATAACTTTATATTTCGCTTTTATTTTGACGTTTGGTCTATCTGTACTATAAAACCTGTTTGCTGAAGTGTCTTTTAAGCTTGAAATATGTGTGCATTCGATATATTTAAAGATGGAATCGATATCAAATCGGATAACAAAGATTGTTGATACACCGATATCGATTGAATCGATTACACCCCTACTTTTTAGCTCATCTGTCACTAAGTTACAAGGTGAACTTTTGTGATTGCTTTTCGTCCGACTGTCCGGACATCGTCTGTAAACTTTTACTTTTAACGACATCTCCTCATTAATCACTCATTATTCACTGAGCCATTTTCATCCAAACCTCACAGGAGTGACCTTTGAAAATGTTTCAAAGAATTTAATTCCATGCAGAACGCTGTTGCCATGGCAACCGAAAGAAATTCTTATAAAAATCTTCTTTAAAAAACCCAAAGAGCTAGAGCTTAGATATTTAGCAGTTTGTTCAAATAATAGCCCAGGGGTCAAAATAATGGCCCAGCCACAGGGGTCATTATTTTCCCTTTTATGTATACATGAATAGTAAAAACCTAAAAAACATCTTTTAAAAAACCCAAAAGGGCTAAATCTTAGATATTTAGCATGAAACTTTTTTAATTGGGTTCTACACAGTTTTTAAAGTAAAAGCCCTGTGGTTAAAATTAGACCAGCCACGGGGCTCATTGATTTTCCTTATTCGTGTATAGAAAAAACTTAAAAAGTCCTCTTTTTTAAACCCAAAAGAGCTAGTGCCTAGAGCTTAGATATTTAGCTTGAAACATTTTTAGTGAGTGTCTACCAAGTTTGTTAAAAAGGCCCAGGGGTCAATTTGGCCCTGTCCAGGGGCGGGGGTCATTGATTTTCTTTATATGTATATATATTAAAAACACTTATGTTTTTGTGCCCCCACTTTAGTGGCGGGCATTTAGATTTACCCTTGTCCGTCCGTACGTCCGTCTGTCCGTCCGTCCATTCACTTTTGTGTCGCACGTAACTCAAAAAGTATTTGACCTAGAGTCATGAAACTTTACAGGAATGTTGATCAGCATGTGTAGTTGTGCACCTGGTTATTTTGGTCTAGATATTTTTTAATATTTTCAGAGTTATTGCCCTTGACTTAGTAAAATTTTGCAATTTTCAACTTGTGTCGCATGTAACTCAAAAATTATTTGACCTACAGTCATGAAACTTTACAGAAATGTTGATCAGCATGTGTAGTTGTGCACCTGGGTATTTTTGTCTGGATATTTTTACTATTTTCAGAGTTATTGCCCTTGACTTAGTAAAATTTTGCAATTTTCAACTTGTGTCGCATGTAACTCAAAAAGTATTTGACCTAGAGTCATGAAACTTTACAGGAATGTTGATCAGCATGTGCAGTTGTGCACCTGGGTATTTTCGTGTGCATATTTTTAGTATTTTTAGAGTTATTGCCCTTGACTTAGTAAAATTTTGCAATTTTCAACTTGTGTCGCACATAACTCAAAAAGTATTTGACCTAGAGTCATGTAACTTTACAGGAATATTGATCAGCATGTGCACCAGGTATTTTTGTCTGGATTTATTGAGTGTTTTTAGAGTTATTGCCCTTCACTTAGAAAATTTTTGCAATTTTCAACTTGTGTCGCAAGTTTCTCAAAAAGGATTTGACATAGTCAATAAACCTTATGGGCAGGTTGCTCAGCATATTTTAGATTTGCACCTGGGGTTTCCCTTGTGGATTTATCCAGTATTTGTAGAGTTATTTCCCTTGACTTAGTAAAAAAGATTGACAAAACAGTGTTGCGGTGGGGGCACCCGTGTCCTATGGACACATTTCTAGTTTACCCACACACTATTTCAGATACATATATGAACTTTGTGTTATCAGTTAAAGATTTAGATTTTATATCTGCTTTAATTTGTTTATAGCTTGTAACACTATTACTCGTTTCTTGTCATTGATAGTTTTTATATACAGGTGAGCAATTTCAGGGCCATCATGGCCCTCCTATTGGTATGTACTGTCTTTTTATTTAATACCAAAATACGTTAAGATGGATGCAAAAGTCTAGCTCATATAATGGTCACAATGAATCAAACACATACATGTACTTCTCTTAGTTTAATATCAACTGGAGATATCGTCTGTTGAAAAGAAAGTCCATAATGGTTGAAATTGATTGCATATCATATTTATTCAATATTTTGAACTTTAAATTCAATCCAAGACCTTATTTACTTATTTATATAAAATCAAACATAATCTTTTTGTTTTGTTTGTTTAGATATTGATAGAGTATCAGGATGGCACATCAACTTCATTTAGAGAAGGAAAAATACAGACAGTGGGTAAAGGCTGGTTTAGGACTTGGATATTTAAAGGAGGGACTTGTACCATTCTGTAATGACATAGCTGTCCAACAACATAACGATATCTTACAAAACATTCGGTCTACAAAATCACTACCATCAACTGTGACATGTGGCAGCTGTCGAGTTGAAACTCTAAAGCCAGACCATAAGCCATTAGGGAATGCTAAAAACAAAGTTTGTCCTCTTGGGCAAGTCAAATGCAGCTGTTGCTGTAAGGGCAAAATTGCTTGTCCGAACAACATATGTGGCGCCATCTATGACTATATTGTGCAGCATCATGCATCTACACCACCTGCGCCAGACTGGAAAAACAGCGATGCTCTAAATTGGTCAACAGACCCGTGGAGCATTAGCAAATGTTTTATAAATGCTCCTGGGTACAAGGACAAGACATCAGCAGTCCATACAGATTGTACAGGGTTACTGCATGTTGTCACAAATAACATATATTTTCATAATCATATTGGAGGCATTGCTACTGGACCAAACAATCTTTTTTCAAAGGTAAATACATTTGTATACTAAATATACCCTCAATTCCATCAAATTTAGGGTATTTTATGTATGTGATTACTCAAACACATATGTTTCTTGATTACTCAACTTGATTACTATCTATATTCAGCATCAAAAGCATAAAAATTGTATATTAAGCTATCAGTGTAATTATGTAATTAAGTGATGCACATATAGAATAGTGTTACCCTGTTCCGTCATTCCGTCCTAAATCCGTCATTCTGTCATTCCGTCATCATCAGTTTCCGTTCATTATCTTAAGAACGGTTGCACACATTCAACACAAATTTGACATATGGATATGTCATAAGAAAATACAGGTCAAGTTGGAACTTGGTTATGGTTCGATGATTTTTGGCAGAGTAATGCCCCTTTTACTTTGAAAATAATATGAAATTTCAGTTTCCGTTCATTACCTCCCCAACGGCATAACACATTCAACTCAAACTAAGTCTTGACATATGGATATGTCATGAGAAAATACAGGTCCAGTTCAAATTTGGTCATGGTTTGATGATTTTTGGCAGAGTTATGCCCCTTTTACTTTGAAAATAATATGAAATTTTCAGTTTCCGTTCATTACCTCCCCAACGGTACAACACATTCAATTCAAACTTGACATATGGATATGTCATGAGAAAATACATGTCAATTTCGAATTTGGTCATGGTTCGATGATTTTTGGCAGAGTTATGCCCCTTTTACTTTGAAAATAATATGAAATTTTCAGTTTCCGTTTATTATCTCCCCAATGGTTCAACACATTCAACTCAAATTTGACATATGGATATGTTTTTGGAATGCCCAGGCCAAGTTCGAATTTGGTCATGGTTCAATGATTTTTGGCAGAGTAATGCCCCTTTCACTTTGAAAATAATATGAAATTTACAGTTTCTGTTTATTATCTACCCAACATTGTTACATATTCAACTTAAATTTGACATATGGATATGTCAAAGGAATGGGCAGGTCAAGTTGGAATTTGGTCATGGTTTGATGATTTTTTGGCAGAGTTATGTCCCTTTCACTTTGAAAATAATATAGAGCATCTTAGAAATAAGCAGTTTAAGTTTGAATTTGGTCGTGGTTCAATGATTTTAGACAAACTTATCTTTCCTGAATGTTGGAAAATTTTGAACTTTCGGTTTCAGCACTCATATTTTAGCCATTATTTTGGCTACAAATATGCAATACGCTATTTTTTAAAAGGTTAAGACTGAATAATTTCAGTGCCTTGAACATTGTATGAAAATGGTTTGTGTTAACATTGAAAAGTTTTAAGGGCTTTAAACTTAAAATGAAAAAAAAAATATTAATGCACCATCTGAAATTTTGGCTGCATGCGGGGGCATCCGTGGCATGATTAAAAATCATTATGGATAACATTTTAATTGAAGGTAGTTTGTTAATATTGACTTTTATGAGGTGTACATTATTATCTAAATGATTTGTGTTTTTGTTTTACAATCAAATGCATATAGAATCCGGTAAAAATATACATACATGTACAGTACAGATAACGCGGAATATGGAAAATCCTCGAAGGATCGAGGAATCCACTCGCAACTCCGCGAGAGTATTTGTCCATAAAAACCAGTGACTCCGCGTGAGAAACGTGTGATGAGAGTGAATCTGAGACAAAAATAACAGCGCGTAACTCCATGTCAGTGTCTAGCTGGTGTAAATAAATGCAAGTACAACCTCATTTTACATTTCATTTTAGATTACGATTCGAAAATAAAGATGAATTTTACCGTTGTTGTTTTCAATTTACCCTGAAACAGTTGAAAGGTACATTTGAATAGAAAAAACACTACCGTAAACGTCATCAAGTTTATTTTTATCCCAATTAATTCAGTCAGTAGCAATAACTACTTTCGTTTTCACTTGTGATACTTTACATCAACGAAGAATTTTCAACAACATTTTTATTTTGAATGAATAATAACATGTATATATATGCTTTCAAGGATTTTAGTTTAAAGGTAAAGCATTATATTAATAAATGAATAAATATAGCATACCATTACTCAGAGTCACTCTTTTTGGCTTGGAGACTCACGGAATCCCACGGACTTAATTGTCACTCGTTATCGACACGGAGTCACTTTTTTGTGTACGAGAAATTTATAATCCACTAGGAGTCACGCTTTTTGTAATTACTCGTTACTTGCAGGAATTTTCATATTCCTCGTTATCTGTACTGTATCTTTTATCAAAATACCATTTCAGTATCCATTTACATGTATTATGTAAATGTATATAATTTCAACTAAACTTTTTTAAGCTCACCTGTCACAAAGTGACATGGTGAGCTTTTGTGATCGCTTTTTGCGTTCGGCGTCGGTCCACCTATAAACTTTTACTTTAAACAACATCTCCTCATAAATCGCTAAGCCAATTTTATCCAAACTTCATAGAAATATGTTCCTTTGGTAGTCAACTTTAAATATTGTTCAAAGAATTTAATTGATATGGCAACCGAAAGAAAAAAACTTTAAAAGTCTTCCTTAAAAAACCAAAAGAGCTAGAGCTTAAATATTTGGCATGAAACATAGTCAGTGTCTACCAAGTGTGTTCAAAGAAAAGCCCTGGGGTCAAAATTGACCCCACGGGTGGATGTCATTGATTTTCCTTATTTGTATATAGGAAAAACTTTAAAAAATCTTTTTTTAAAAAAACCCAAAGAGCTAGAGCTTAGATATTTCGCATGAAACATCTTCTAATGGGTGTCTACAAAGGTTCACATAAAGACCCGGGGTTAAAATTGGCCATGTCTCGGGGTCATTTATTTTCCTTGTATATGTATAGTAAATACTTAAAAAATCTTCATTTAAAAGACCCAAAGATCTAGAGTTTAGATACTAAGCATGAAATATCTTCTAATGAGCGTCTACAAAGTTTGTTCAAATAAAAGTACTGGGGTTAAAATTGGCCCGGGGTCGGGGGTGGGGGTGGCATTGCTTTTCCCCGTTAATATGTATAGTAAAAACTTGTAAAAATGTTCTTTTGAAAAACCAAAAGAGCTAGAGCTTCAATATTTATCATGAAACATCTTCTAATTGGTGGTCAAGGTCACAGCATGACCTTGCAGCAAAACCATGTCCGGCCCATTACTTTGTTATTTGAAGTCAGATTTTACAACTATTTCACAGAAATGATCACCATATTGAGACAAAATGTCGCCCTCAACATTTTGGTAGCTGCCTTGAAGGTCAAGGTCACAACATGACCTTGAAGAAAAATCATTTCCAGCCCATATCTTTATTATTTGAAGTTGAATTTTACAACTATTTCACAGAAATGATCACCATATTAAGACGAGGTGTCTCGTGCAACTTTTTGGCCCCTACCTTTAAGGTCAAGCATGACCTTGCAGCAAAATTGTGTCCGGCCCATAATTTTGTTATTTGAAGTCGGATTTTACAACTATTTCACAGAATTGATCAACATATTGAGACAACATGTCACGGGCAAGTCGGTTGATATATCTCATTGAGTAAAGTGCAGTGCAAAGAACAGTAACTCTGCTTTGCCTAAGTTTGGAATTATCACACTTTGAAGTTTGTCTGTGACATTACTGTGAAACTACAAAAGATAAAATTTTCTGTGTCCAAAACCTAGTCGGGGAGCATCACCCGGTTCAACCAGCTCTTGTTGTTACAGTGGAAAGTTCAGTAATTCATGATTGAAACAATTAGGATACTTTCTTAACAGTTTTAATTCTCATCTAGTTTAGTTTAGTTTTATTGCTTAACACAGTATAATTATGTGTGTCTGTTGAACTTAGTTTTGTTTTACATTCAATAGGTACGTCAGTATAGAAATGAAATTTTCCACTCAAGCAGCATGGAATTAGAAGAAAGTGAGGCTAATACTTACTTAGATGACATGATTGCAGTTCTACAAGATAATAAGGAACTTGTACATCAACCAGCTGCACAACAAGCTGTATTGAAACTTCAAGATGTAAGAGTATATACATTTGTAATAAACTTATGATATCAGTTTGAAATCTTTAAAGAGTTCACTGTTCAGTTATAATTATTTATATTAAGAACATCTTTAAATTCAAGATAAATTTTAGGGTAATCGAGAAAAAATTCTCAAAATGGTTTCATTTTTTTCAAAGTTGAATAAAAATTTCCTAAAATTCATTTACATTGATAAAAAAGTATGGCAATCAGATGACTTTACCACAGACCTATTTTAGAAATCCTCAGAAAATGTATAAGTTAAAAAAAGATCAATTGAGATAATTTTAAATTAATGTTTTGACCATATATATAATTTGTTGTATAGAATAGTAAGTATTATAAATCACATAGCTACATTTTTATGAAAGAAAATATAAAAGAATTGTTATGTTTTCATTAGCTTAAGAAGAAAGACTTCATTATAACTACTGTAGACTTTGATGAAATTCTGGGACAAATCAAGGAAGAAATGAAAAAAGTTCTAAAATCAATTGAAGATGCTCCAACTAATGAGGAATATGAGGAGCTTAAAAAACAATCTGAAGAACATGAAACCCAGATATTCAAACTAAATGAGGTAAACGTAACATTTCTAGTGTTTATTTCCAGTTATAAACTGGTGCATTCCTTGCATACAACATGGTTTTTAGAGAACTTAGTATGTTTGTTTCCGGTAAAAATATTTGTACTTCTATTCCACATAACCATTGTTTTAAGAGAACTGTTTGTTTCTGGTTGATACAGGTTTATGTATTCCACACAACCATGGTTTTAAGAGAACTGTTTGTTTCTGGTTGATACTGGTACATGTTTCCCACACAGCCATGGTTTTAAGAGAACTGTTTGTTTCTGGTTGATACTGGTACATGTCTTCCATAAACCATGGTTTTAAGAGAACTGTTTGTTTCTGGTTGATACTGGTACATGTATTCCACACAGCCATGGTTTTAAGAGAACTGTTTGTTTCTCGTTGATACAGGTTTATGTATTCCACACAACCATGGTTTTAAGAGAACTGTTTGTTTCTGGTTGATACTGGTACATGTTTCCCACACAGCCATGGTTTTAAGAGAACTGTTTGTTTCTTGTTTATACTGGTACATGTCTTCCATAAACCATGGTTTTAAGAGAACTGTTTGTTTCTGGTTGATACTGGTACATGTATTCCACACAGCCATGGTTTTAAGAGAACTGTTTGTTTCTGGTTGATACTGGTACATGTATTTCACAAACCATGGTTTTAAGAGAATTGTTTGTTTCTGGTTGATACTGGTACATGTATTCCACACAACCATGGTTTTAAGAGAACTAATGTTTGTTTCTGGTTGATACTCGTACATGTATTCCACACATCCATGGTTTTAAGAGAACTGTTTGTTTCTGGTTGATACTTGTATGTGTTTTCCACACAACCATGGTTTTAAGAGAACAGTTTGTTTCTGTTTGATACAGGTATATGTATTCCACAAGAGAAGTTGATATGTTTTTGTCCTGGTAATATATTTGAACATGTTTTAAATACAACATGGTTTTAAGAGTGATGACACCATTTGATTTTGAGGTCACTTGTTCAAAGGTCAAGGTCACAGGGGTCTTGATTAAAAAGAGCCTGTCTGCCGAATAACTTAATATTCCTTTGACCCACAGTCTTCATATTTGGCATGGAGGTTGGTCATCATTATGAGATGACCCCTATTGTTTGTGGTCACTGAGTCAAAGGTCAAAGTCAGAAGGGCCTTGACTATAAAAAATTGTCCGCCAAACATCTTTAGAATCCTTTGACCCACAGTTGTTTATGACTATAAAGTGACCCCTATTAGTTTTGAAGTCACTAAGCTTTTAATTCTGAAAGCTTGTCGGCTCAATTACTTAAGAACGCTTTGGTTAACAGTCTTCTTATTTGGTACTGAGGTTAGTTATGACTAGTAGATGACCCCATATTGATTTTTAGGTGTTTATGTCAAAGGTAAAGGTCACAGGGGCTTTAACTACAATAAGCCTGTCTGCTCAAATGCTTAAGAATGCCTGTCCACAGTGTATTGATTTTGACATTTCACATTTGAAGCATAATTATATTCTCATATATTCATCATAAAACACCCCGGCAAAGCTGTATGAATTGGAGGGGTATTCAAGTCATGCAGTGGCAGTTTCAGTTGAGTCAGTAGGTCAAAGGTAAAGGTCACTTTGATCTTTGCCACTAAAACATGTAGTATACATATCTTAGTTATGCACTGGCTTACTACCAACAGATTTGGCAGGAAGGTTGTCCTTGAGCTCTAAATGACTACTGTTTATTCTGACAAAGTGGTATGCAGGGGTATTCACGACATGACAGTGGCAGTTCTGTTTTTTTGTTTGATTGGGTTTTACACCACACCGACATAGTATAAGTCATATGGCCACACTCCAGCTTTACTGGGGGAGGAATACCTCAGGTGCCCTTCCGTGCATTATTTCAGGCACAAACGGGCAGTGACCTGATTAGAACCATGGTAGTTCTGTAAGCTAGCTGGATAGCTTCTTCACATGAAATAATTCGAAGGGTCTGTCGGGATTCGATCTCACAGCCGTGAGGGGCAAGAGGTTTGAAGTCAACAACCTTAACCACTCGGCCACCGATGCCCCGGTTCTAGTATTAGTAAGTAACATCTTAATAATATCTTATAGAAAAGTCTTGAACTAAAAGTATTTTTGGAGTAAAGAAGATGATTTGTTTTTGCAGGAGATGACAAAAATTAAGACAGTAACTTCCTCAGGTCAAAGTCAGGCAGAGTATGAGCAAACCAAGTTAGGTGAGTAAATATTTGTTTTGATGGTGTACATACAAGTGTATGATATTGCCATTAATATAAATAAAAACCAGCTGAATGTCATCGTTACTTTATCATTTTAGAAATTAATATGATATAATTATATACTCCGGATCATACAATATCATTAAATTTATAATATTATTAAATTTATGAAATTACAATGTAACATTTGATTATATCCTACCACATAATGTGGTTGGTGCTATACTGGAATCACTTTGCGGCATCATTAGGTCAGTCATTCCGTCTGTTTGTTTCCATCGGGTCAATATCCCCTTTGAAGGACAAATGCCTAACATCAAACTTTTTTTTCTTTTCTCTGTATATTCTATACCCCCTGTGTAAGTTTCCTTAAATTTGCCTCAACAAGGCAGTATGCATAACCAATGTCTGTGCTTGGTTTACAAGGCAATGTTTAGAACCGATGCCTCTGCAGTGCTGGCTCACAGCTTCTTTGATTGTCAAAGGTCAAATATCAGACAGACAATAATGTTCTCGCTCTATGAACTGTATAAATTTTCTTTAAATTGGCATAACTGTTTACTGTAACATGAAAAGACATACTACAGCTGTGCCAGTTCAAGGTCAAGGGAACCCTTGAAGGTCAAACGTAATATATTGAACATTTTCGTCTCTGCTTTATAAATCCTATACCCGGTCATGGATTTTCTTCAAACTTGGATGTTCATCTCAATAAGGCAATGGGCAGAACCAATGCCACTGCCATTCCAGGTCAAGGTCACCTTTTAAGGACAACGGTCAAATATCACAAACTTTTGTGTCAGCTCTATAAATCTTACATGCCTTTTACAATCTTCTTCAAGGTCAAGATCAATCTTGAAGGTCAAAAATCAAATGTCCGATCATTTTGTGTCGGACCTTTGAAGGATTTTCTTCAAACTTGACCCTAAACATTGGGATATGCAGAACAAATGAAGCTTCTTTGCAGGCCTTTTTTTCTGAACTATAAATGCTATCCTTTTCAAATATCTTAATACAATCCCATCAAGATAAAAACAAGGGAGCATAAAGTGTTACCCCAGTTAATTGTTGTTGGCGTGTGTGTTCAAAGACCTTGTCTTGCCTATAGCTCTATCATGCTTCATGAGATTTTGAAATGATTTGGCAAAATGTGAAGAATGAGGAGACAGTTTGTATAGAGCAAAACATAAACCCCTAGCTCCAAGGTCAAGGTCACACAGAGTTCAAATGTCATCTTATAAGGCCCATAACTCTGTTATGCATTTAGGGATTTTGAAACAATTTAGCATAAATGTTGAGCATGATAAGCCAGTGTTTCAGGGTCACACTTACTCTTACAGGTCAAAGGTCAGCAGTTTAAAGAAAATCTTCGCTTGTCGTACACTCTGTTATCCATAAAGAGAATGGTCAATAAGTAAACACTGCTGGCAAAAGTGTTTAGCATTATAAGTCATTGATACCCTACCATCCAAAATATAGGGGCGTCTGTGGCAGAGTGGTTAAGGTTGTTGACTTCAAACCACTTGCCCCTCACCGCTGTGGGTTCGAATCCCGACAGGGACTTTGGATTTTTTCATGTGAGGAAGCTATCCAGCTAGCTTATGGAACGTCAGTAGTTCTACTCAGGTGCCGGTTCGTGCCTGAAATAATGCACAGAAGGGCACCTGAGGTCTTCCTCCACCAGTAAAGCTGGAGCGTCGCCATATGACCTATACTGTGTCGGTGTGACATAAAACCCAATCAAATTAACAAATAAAAACCATTCAAAATAATTGTATCTTATGTAAAATATTACAGAGCTTATATTTGTTAATTTTTGCTCCAGGTCACAATAAACAGTTTGTGCTCCATTGCCTTTTAAATATTTATCAACAGCCATCTGTCCTTATACTTGAAAAGGTCTTTTATTATACCCCCACAAACGAAGTTTAGGGGGATTATAGGAGTCAGCTTGTCGGTCGGTCGGTCCGTTGGTCGGTCCACGTCATGGTTAGGAATGAGATATTGTTATCAAACTTGGCGTATAGCAAGCTTATATGAAGACCCCAGTTGAGATTACAATTAATTGAAATATTTCTTTGTACACAGTTTTTGTACAAACTTTTCTTCAGACTACTTTTTTCATAAAGTCAAAGTTGCAGGTGGGGGTATTAATCACCTTCAGTGATAGGTCTAGTTACAAATAGGGTTATGTAATAAAAACTGTGCTGTCCTGTTATAACACCGGTATTCATACTTTTTGATGTCCTAACATAAATAGCAGAGGCATCTGTGCCTTTCAGACACATTTCTAAACCTCAACTGTTTTCTATTTAAATTGATGAAAAAGGGAACTACATAATATTGTATGTCGTAGAATTTGGGTGAGAATATCGTTACCCTTATGGCCGATCTAGCTTATTACAAGTCATGATTAATAGTGCCCTTGTTTTGTTGCAAAGTGAATAATGACCCGAGGGCATAATAAGTATTCATTAAGTAATTAATTCATAATGTCATTATAGTTAAATATTAAACATTGAACTCACAATGATGTAATATGTGTTTATTAATTATTTAATTAATTCTATATGGACATAGATATACTACACAGTAGATTAGGGCCAGAAGGTGTGTTAATACCCCCTCTCCCCCCCCCCCTCAAATGAATAGTGCCCTTGTTTTTTTGCCAAGTGAATAATGACCCGAGGGCATAATTCATTTCAGGGCGTATTATAACTATTTGGTTTGTCTCAAATGTGCCTTTTAATGTCTTTTATACACTTGATAGTAACACTAATTTGAATAAAGTCTACATTAATATTGTTGAAATTCTTGTCTTATAATACTGTACAATACTAAACAGAGTTGCTTCCCTTACAAAGTTCACTTCTGTAGAATCAAGTTTTTCAGAATAAAACTGTTGTTTGTACAAATTATCCTTATAATATGTTCTCATCCTTAATTCATGTGATTGGTGCTTAAAACCTACTTTCACATTAAAGCTAGTGGTTGTGATGACGTAATTAGTTTGATGTCATTGTTTTAATTTTTGCATGTGCTCGTGTTCAGTGTTCAGCAGTCAGGATCGCAAACTCATGAAAGCTCACATGACACTCTTATGCATTTGAAATTTTGTTTTGCCCCTCTTTGAAGAAGAGGGGATTTATAGTTTTGTGATCCGGCGTCCGGCATCCGTCCGTAAACTTTTACTTTAAATGACATCTCCTCATAAACCACTAAGCCAATTTCATCAAAACTTCACAGGAATGTTCCTTTGGTGGTCACCTTTAAAAATTGTTCAAAGAATTTAATTCCATGCAGAACTCTGGTTGCCATGGCAACCGAAAGAAAAAACTTTAAATATCTTCTTTTAAAAAACCATAAGAGCTAGAGCTAAGATATTTGGCATGAAACATCTTCTAGTGAGTGTCTACCAAGTTTGTTCAAATAAAAGCCCTGGTGTCAAAATTGGCCCCGCCCCGGGGGGTCATCGATTGTCCCTATATGCATATAGTAAAAACTTAAACATCTTTTTTTTAAAGAACCCAAAGAGCTAGAGCTAAGATATTTAGTATGAAATATGTTCTAATGGGTGTCTGCCAAGTTTGTTCAAATAAAAGGCCTGGTGTCAAAATTGGCCCCGCCCCGGGGGGGTCATTGATTTTCCCTATATGCATATAGTAAAAACTTAAAAATCTTCTTTTAAAGAACCCAAAGAGCTAGAGCTAAGATATTTAGTATGAAATAATGTTCTAATGGGTGTCTGCAAAGTTTGTTCAAATAAAAGCCCTGGTGTCAAAATTGGCCCGCCCGGGGGGGTTTTTT